ATAATTTAAGTACGCTCTGGACATCAGTTACTAGGTCGCCATTATTGTTCTTACAGGAGTGCGCCCCGGTCTTTAAACCTTCCGTAAGTCGCCTAACTCTCTGGTAAAATGTTCGGGCATTCCTCCTGTCGGCCAGCATTTCAAGCTCTTCGCACTCACGTATTTCGGCCTCTCTCTTCTTGTTGCGGCAAATACGTCTCGCTTCCCTCTTCAGATCCCTATAGCGGTCAATCATTATTCTTGAGCGGAAAAAATAAAAATCGCAAGATAATCATTATACCTGAGCGAAAAAAATAAAAATCAAAAGTAATCATTATGCTCAAGCGAAAATATAAAAATCAGAATCTGAGTATTATTCTTGAGTGAAAAAATAAAGATCGTAAGATAATCATTATTCTTGAGTGAAAAAATAAAAATTTAAGGATAATCATTATTTTCGATTAAAAAACTTAAAATCAAGGGGTAATCATTATTCTTGAGCGAAAAAATTGAAATCATATTTTAATTATTATTTATAATTTTTACTAGTAAAACTTGAAAAATAAAAATCATTTTAAATTACGGTAGGACATATAAAAATAGATATGTGAGTATACATAAAATTGCCGTACGACACTTACAGCATGTTGATTTATTTAATTTAAATTTAAAAAATAATGATTATTTTCCATCCCTTATAATGGAAAGTCGCCCACAAACTGTATCCTTAAATGCCCTCTATAAAGATTTTATGTTTGAATGCCATATATTAGATTTACTTTGCTAAAGATGGTCATCACGTTCAACAGCGAACCTCTCAGCGTCTTTGTTAAAGGTAAAATTAGACATTTTGGATAAAAATTGGGAAAGTATCATGGACTCCTTTAGACTTCTCCCGAACCCGCACTTTACTGGATCTAGTAACTCAGCAAATCAAATGTATGAAAGAAGCTTCACTAAATATAGTAGTTGCAAAGCTGAGATGGATGAAGCGTTGGACTTTCTCAATACGAACTCACTAACTCAGCAAATTTCGAATATTGCGCCCAACATAACACAAACTTCAGCCCCCAATGAAGATAAGTCAAATATACAGTCCACTACTCAGGTGTCTCCCCCTATAGACACAACTGGAAAATCTCCCACACCAAGTTCCACTCCAAAGAACAAAGACAGCATAGAATCCTCAATGATTCCCTTAAATGCTCTAAAATAAAAATTACTCCCACTCTATATCTACCCCAAAATTTATCAGAGGCGGTAGCCTCCGCCCCGGCAGGGGCTCTATCGCCAATGAAAACTCAGAATAGTCAGTTACTCGACGGAAGCACAAATTCAACTCTCAACCCCGCAGACGTTGAAGAATGCTTAAAGTTTGGTAAAACCGCGTCAGCTCCACGACGTAGGTCCCCATTGCCAACATTACTCTCTTACCCCAAATCATGGTTATATAACAAAGACTACTTTCATCAGCAGCAACCAAATTCTACGCCTGTCATCTATTTCGAGGACGGTATAAGACGAGGCGTTGATGAATCTGGCGACATTTCTCGGTTGTCACCTGCTTCAACTGAATCAATCTCCTCTTCAGCAGTGCCAACCTGGCACAGTTCGGAGCCCGTTACGAACTCTCATGAATCTACTTCTGCTTCAACCCCGAAGACATTCGGCTTGCGATTCCCAGCAGTAAGCCCAGCGTCAACTTCGATGCAGCCCGACTTAGATGACACCTCGACGACCGTTTTGATTCCGTATATCGGTGGTCATTATCATCACCAGCCACATTCGCCGGAAGTCATCGTCAACTGGTTACTTGAGGATCAGTCTCCACTCTAAAGGCACGCCAACAGCAGAATATTAATAGGAATATCTCAGTACCTAAAGACTTAGTGATTCACCCTGAATGAGCGGAAGCTAAACTCCACGATTAGCGGTCTTACTCCTTTGCCCGAAGCATATCCCACAACTAAACCTCGAACCTATCAGCGATTATATACGCCTTCTCCAAGCTCACTCATACTTTCACGCAATAACTCTCCCAAACGTATATTTCGTTCAATTCACTTCACTTATGCTTCCCAACTAAATTCATTTTACGACTCTCTTTCACAGGCTAACTAAGATGTTTCGCAATTCTAGTCGTATGTCTCCTCTCCTCTTTTTCCAGGGATCTCGGGTCAGGCCGCCGGAAGACCAGACGTACCCACTATACGATGTTGCACCACTCCACCTCGCCGCATCTGAACGCCACCGCCGAGATGATTCACCCACTATCAGCCGTAGACGAACAGCGCTCCCCAACCGTATAACCAACCTACAGGACTTACTTTTCCTCGCACCGGTGCAGGCGGGCCGGCATGTTGAGGACATGAGCCTCAATCTCTTAGAATTGTAAACCTAGTTTAAATCCCTTTTGTTAATCTGCGTGCGGCTGGCAACTCTTTGTGAATTGATTGATTTGGTTTAGTTGTCATTGCAGTTGTATACATAAATAAATAGTTAGTTACTCTTTAATCATCAACGCCGCCGCACCGCATAGCTCGCTATATTTCGGAAAAGCCACTCGGGCAATTTTTATTCCTCAAATACCGATATTTTATCGACATGAAATAATCTTAATAAATTATATGAACTCGTTTTTAATTTCAATTACAATCCTCGGTGTTTTATTTATTAAATCAGGCGCACCCGGCGCTTCCCTTAACCTACTCAAAATCCTAAACACGCTGGAATTTCTGAATATTTTCGGTCGATATGCCCGAAAACTTTGTCAACTTAATGCACAAAGAATGTTTCTACTTCTGGATATTAATTTTTCTCAAATTTAAGTCTTTTAAACAGAAAAGGAAAATTGTTGGGAATAATTGGTACTCACGATATACCATTTCGCCTGCGCCACAAGCCGCTATTAGTTTTGATCAGTTAAGAGTGTTTTGCAGCTTTGCAACCATAAGGCAGTTTGCACACGGGTCGTATAGCTTTTGACGCGTATACAATTTTTTATGCAGAAACGATTCCTGTACTCTACAAGATCTGCACACGAAGCGCCTTCAAAGCGTCAAATTATAAGGCGCAAAAATGTTAGGTGATGAGAAATTATTATTTTTTCAATTATTTTTTAATTAATTTCACGAATTTTATTGTTATATCTGTTTTCTTTATTAAATGCAGGCGCGTACACGGAAAATTGTAAACAAACTTCTTCTTCTTCCTCTTTTCTAAGCGTACGTTCGCCTAGCTACCAACACGGCTGAACGCCAAGCGATTTGCAGCTAGCTGGCTTTGACGAATTCGTGATGCTGACGACTCGCATGAGGAATTAGCTGCAGTTGATCCGGATTAAGTCCGAGTTAATCCGGATCAACGCTGCCGTCTGTTTAAGCTTTTAGGAATGGTGAAATTTCTAAGTAGCATAATTGATACGCCAACTTTAAGTCTGATTTGCTGCACAGGAAGGCCGTTTGCAATGAGCAGAGCTGGGTCGTAATGAATCCTTTAGGAATTAGATTACTCCCAATTACAAATTACAAGGAATTGTAATTAGGAATCAATTCCTTCGGTCCACAGCAAAGGAATCGATTACTTTCTCAATTCCTTGATAATTGATATCTTCTATGTATATCTATATTAGACTGCATCACTCCCCATACAAAAAAAAATCGGCACTGTTTTTCCATTAGAATTATAAAATCTATTATATTTTAAGACGTCCACCAAAATATTTCGAAAAAAATATTAAGATTTAAGTGAGCTGGACCGATTTGAAAATACCTCCAAAGATGGAGTTTTTTATGAATAAAAATAGTTTCTTAAAGATTTTTTTTTTAAAAATACCCTCAAATGACAAAACGGTTTAAGCTTAAGAAAAACTTGAATAACTGAGGCTAAACTCTCCCGATTTAGACTTGTGAGATATCATTGGAAAGGTATTTTCTCGCCCTTTTTATTTCTTTGCTAATAAACTCATTCAAAGGATGAAAGAGA